GGGCCGCCTGGGGCACGCCCCGCTGTGCTTTTGGGGTTGCATTCTCTGCCCTCCCAGAATGTGCTGCTCAGCCGCAGGAAGGGCGTGGGAGGGGCGGGCTGTGCGGTTCCCGTGTGTGTAGTGAGTAGTGGATGTGCGGGCGCGCGCGCTCTGCAGCAGCCCTTGCCCGCGGGAGACCGCCCCACCCGGGGCGCCCCTCAGGAGTCGCCTTCCCGCCCCGCGAGCGCTCCCGCAGCAGTTACAAGCTCTGTCTGCGGGAGGTGGGCGGGGAGTCCCGGGATGGGAGGATCGTGGCGCCCCCTTCCCTCCTGCGGCCTCCGGGGCACTAGGAACACTGGGTCGCGTCCCTCACGACCTCCTCCTTGAGCTCACCTTGGAGGTGGTCGGGCCCGCGGATCTGCTAGTGTTCTCGTGCTTAACCCTCCACAGGAGGGGTATAATGCGCTGCTCAGATCGTTCACAGAAAAGTTGTATTTTCAGCCTGTGCAGCCCCTTCAGAGAATAAATTCCATTATTTAGCAGCGGAGGGGGTAAGCTGGCCACCCATTTTCGCCCCCTGTTCTGTTTTTTTTTTTTTTTTTTTTTTTTTTTAATTTTGTCTTTAAGAGACAGGGTCTCGCTGTGCAGTTCAGGCTGGCCTTGAGTTCACTTTGTAGCCCAGGCTGGCCTCGAACTCACAACGATCCTCCTGCCTCGGCCTCCTGAGTGCTGGGATTACAGGCATGTGGCACCACGCCCGGCCTTCCCCCCTGTTCTAAACTGCTTTTTCCACTGTTACGGGTGGAGTAACAATCTTCCGTTTATGGCTGGAGAGGAAGAGCAGTGGTATTTCCCGAATGAAAACCAAGCTTCACAATCTGAGTAGGCAGACAATACGCGTTAAAAAGTAGTCTTCACAAGGCGTAAGATAAGAAAAATTGATTTTCCGCTCTAGCAGCCACATTCTACGCTGGTTCCTGGTCAGGCAGGTCTCCTCCCCTGCCTTGGTTCTCTGTGCTCCTCCATCCTGGAAGTCCACTCCCGCCTGTCAGGATACAGGACCACTGGAGTTTTATGGGCCACGCTTACTTTCGCCCTCATTTCTTTGGCCAGGGCTCACTCTCGTGGTCTTAACCTAAATGAAAGGCGAGCTGGTAAATATAGTCCAGCTGTGCCCAGGAGAAAGCGCAAACGGGGTTGGGTGGACCTGAACCTGTCTCTGCCCTTTGCTGTTGAGGGGTCGGCCAACCCTGAACGTCCGCAGCCGGCAAATCTTCAGCGGGTTTCACCGGCCCTTGATTCCCTTTGCAGAGCAATGCTAAGCATTGCTCAGCCGTAACCTTCTTGGGCTTCACTTCTGGTCAGAGTACGAGAATAGTCACTTGTTCCAACTTGGTGAGCTTTAATCCCAACTTTCCTTTATTTAGGAAACAGGAACCCACTTCCTATAGGTCAAGTATGCGGATAGCAAGGAGAGGGAGCAAGCCTGCAGGACTGCAGGATTCCCAGAGTTCCTCCAGTGGACTAGCAGATGTTTCCTCTGCCTGCTCTATGCAGCTCAGTGCCCGTTTCTACAAAGCATTCATTGCTCCAGAAAAATGTCTCCTCCAGTCCCATGATCAGTGACTTTAAAACACGGGTATTCTTAGACAGTTCTCCCACCGTTTAAGTATGGATTGGCCTCAGTGATTTTCTTCTACTGAATAATGTGCGGCAAAACCAATGAGGCCAGGCCGTAAAAGACCAGATAGTTCTTCAGGACTCTCATGGTGCCTCCGGGGGCCTTAAGAAGCGAAGCATCTACTAGGAAAAGCCACCTATCTGCATTCCAGGGAGTGGAGCAGAGACAAGCTGTCCCTGTTCAGATTGTAGCCCCTGAGCAAGATCAAGTGTTGCAGTTGTCTCCAATTACTAAGTTGCATGAAGTTCTGTTACCGAGGGGCAGAACATTAGAACACCAGGAGAAAATCACTAACCAGGCTCTCGGGGCCCATTAGATTTTCCCTAAATATCCTCCTGCAACACACAGATACTTTAATAAAAGCTCTCTGAATGTGTACAGAGTGCCAGGTTGCTGGCAATGACCTGGGTGTGGAAGGTTATAATGAGACTCTCGAGATGGCTTTCTTAGGGCTTGGGTGGCATTCCTATGTGACAGGATTTCAGCCAGCTGCTTGGAGCAGACTCTACACCAGTTGCAGATGGCGCAGAGAAAGCTGAGTCACTCACTTCCAGTTACGTTTCCCTCTTCTTTGTTGAGAAGGCTGCTTTGGAGCATGTAGAACTAATAAGAGAGGTGGAAGGGAGCACTGGGGCTCGTCTTCATCCCTCAGCATTGTCCAGGGTGCCGTTTTTTATAAGAGATGGCGGGGTGGGGGGTGTAGCTAGAAGGCAGGTTACACTATGCGGGATGCAACTCTGCAGATTCCCAAGGTAGCTGGATTCAGTGGAGAAACGGGTAAAGGGTGACAAGATGAACCTGATAGGGACAGATCATCGATGAAGCCTTCTTGGCCTAAATGTCAACCCTCCCAGTGCAGGGAGACGGCGAATGTCATTAAATCCACAGTGGTAGCAAGGTTCATGGCCGTGTGGACAGGGAGAGTCCAGTCCAGACTGCCTTGGATCCAAGGCTGTAAGGATATACATACTCCTGCGCCAGTGTCTTTGTCCTTGCTGCCCTTCTTCCTACTTCCCCTTCCGGTCCCTCCTCTTCTCCCCTGGGTCTTTTTTGCAGTACCAAAGACACAGGACCTTTGCACTGAGCTATATCAGCAGCTCTTTTACTGTATTTTAAAATTGTATTGTATTTTGAGATAGGATCTCAAAATATTAGTTGCCCAGGCTGAGCTCAAACTTGTAATCCTCCTGCCTCAGCCTCCCAGAGTGCTGGGATTACAGGTGTATGCCACCATGCGCAGCTTGATGATCCTCTTAGTCTAGATATTTGCCTTGGCACTGCTTTAATGTTCCTCTCCTCAGAGAACCCTCCGTAGAGTAACACTCTTGTCATTCTCTGTCCCTTTACTGCATTTCATTTTTTTTTCATAGACTGCACCTCTAGGCAATATAGAACCAACACACTGTATTTTCATTTCTTTGTTTCTGTATGCTGCAACAGGAAATGAAAGATAGCAACTGTCTTGCTGACCACTATATCCCCAGCACCTAATGTAATGCCTAACACAGTAAATGCTCCCTTGGTATTTTTTGAACAGAAGCATAAACTTCCTGATCAAAATGGAATGCCACTCCGGCGGAGATAACGAGTCGCCTGGCCTTGCGGGCATTCAGTGAGAAGTAGATCGCCAAGTGTTTGGATTTACTGAGGTGGCTCACACATAGGGCTGGAATGGGCCCATAAGAAGTGACACATCTACCTAGGTCACCCTGCTGCCCCTCTGTGGCTGCTGTTCGCTGGGAGAAACTGCCTCCCTTTGGGTGTTGGTTTTGGCAGCCTGAAAATAGCTATGTGGCTTTCACACAAAGGAGGCGTGGAAAATGGGGAAATCAGGGCGTGACTTCTGTATTTTCCACAGCACAAAAATGTTTCAAGCCGGGAGCAGTGGTGCAGGCCTGTGAGCCCAGTACTTGGGAGGCAGAGGAAGGAGGATTGCCACGAGTTCCAGGCCAGCCTGGGTTTTGTAGCCAGACCCTGACTCAAAAAAACAAAGTGAAACAAAAAAAAAGGTTGTTTCTTTTGTAGGTCATGAAGGTCATGGAGGTTAATGGTGCTTGTCCAAGATAAAATTTTGAAGGAAGTAAGGTAGTCCTTGGAGGCCCAGCCTCAGTAGCAATTCTTATCTTTGTAGGGTGGGGGTTAACTCCTGAAAAACCTTGGCGTAGCTTAGTAGCTCACGCAGGTCTCTGTCGGTATAACAGTAATGACCGCAGCTAACATTCTGGAGCAGTTACTGTGCTGCTGATCTCACGCTAAGGACTTTACATGTTGTCTCACTTAATCCTCACCAAAATAATGTGAAATGGCACTCTTTTTAGTTTCTGTTTTTTTTTTTTTTTTTTTTTTTTTTTTTTTTTTTTTTTTGTATTTTTGAGACTGGGTCCCTCTATGCAGTTTAAGCTGGGCTTGAGCTCATTTTGTTTCTTTTTTTTGGAACCGGGAATCAAACTCAGGACCTTGTACTTGCCTCGCAGGTGCTGTGCCACTGAGCTGTCTCCCCCGCCTTGAGCTCATTTTGTAGCCCAGGCTGATCTCAGACTTGCAACCATCCTTCTGCCTCAGCCTCCGGAGTGCTGGGATTATAGGTGGGCCCCACCACACCTGGCTTTAGTTTTTGCTTTAAAGTGAAGGAATCTGAGGCTTGGTCAAGGTCAAACAGGAGGTAATAATCCAGGTCTGGCTGATTCCGAAGCTGAGTTTTTTACTATTGCACCTCATGCCCAGACTTTGTTGCAGAATTTGCAGACTAGCAGCATGGGGCTAGCTGGCTCGTGTGTCTTTTGTTTGGCCACATTAAATGTAACAAAA